CCTCAGGAACAAGACCAATTTCTCAAACAAGCTTTTTCCCCTAAAAGGAAACTGTCTTCATGCCACACACAGTTTTGTGCACAGACAACTCATTGTGGCCTGTGAAATATACAATAATGCCTTCATGTTCTTGCCAGTAAAAGCCATACCAGAATTATATATGCACAATCACATATTTCTCCGATATAAAATTGTAAATTCAACATGGAAACTAGACATATCAAGAACAAGTACGATTGCCCAGTACTTTACCAAGCTAAAATTCTTGTCAGTCTATGCTATTCCAGTATTGCATCCATCAATATTCCTCCTTCTCAAATTTTTATGATTACAGTTATCATCAGAAGGAAGGTTTGAAAAATTTATTAACCACAGGAAAACAGAGAAACACATTCTCTGTGGAATGCACAAGGCCCACATATCAATCTTGGCAAATTTGGTATTTTAATTAGTGGAAAACTCTAGATATTACAGCTGTGCAACTCTAATAGAAGCTAATCAATGAAAAACACTGCAGTTTTTGCAAAGTGTGCTTACCTGGAGTACCACCTACTGTATTTAAAGCCTTAACACGCAGTAACACCAAGAGATCTAAAAGCTTCTGCTCAGGATCAACATCACAGTCAAGAGCACCAGTGTCAGTGATGTCCTGGTGAAATTCATGTTATTAAATTACTTTACTTTGGAAGAGCTAAAGGCATTTGTAAAGGAAAGAAATATTCTTTAAATCCTTCCCAACCCCATTTCCCTCTTCAAAAATAGATTAGCAACAGAAATAAGAGTTATCAGCTATAGATAAGGCTATACTTGTACAGTGAAAACTTGCTTTCCTTGTGGGTGTTCATGACAAAGGAGAAAAAAAATAAAAGTTCCTTTCTTTAAAGCAGTGACACTAGATAGAACTGCAGATGTTTATAACCAAAAACTGTTAGGAAAAACTAATCCCTCACAAAGAAGAAGACAGCACACTGATAGAAATCTGAAGCGGCTTCTCCTTCCTGGCAATAGAGGCGATGGATGGCGATGTGTTTCCCAGAAAAACAATCACAAAAAAGTTATGGAGACCTCATTCCTGGATATATTTTGGAAAGCCTTGATTGAAGGCCTATGCAAAATGTCCTTCAGCTAGGATTTCTTTTTTTAAACAAGAGACAACCTCCAACTAAAGACTGTGCTCATTGCTTAATAATTTATAGTGGAAACACTGTCAACACCGCACAAGTTACAGTGATGCTGTCTCAAGTTATCTACCACAGTTAGGATGGAGGAGGCATATCACAAACTATTGTTTGGCATTTACTTGGACTCCGTGGTGTCAGAGTATTAGAAATGAATATGCAGAATTCTTTAGAAAAAAAAATAAAAACACTTTTGCAAAGAAATTCAATCTCTCAAGTACATTAAGCATGCAAATGTAAGGTTGGCTCAACATGCCCGGGACTGAAATTTCCCTATCACTTCCTGTTCTATCACAAACCAACTCCTCTCAAGTTGACACTTCACTTCGGCTTTTGACGTATCATTTCTTAACAGACCATATACTTTTTAAAACTTTGTTTCTTGCCTTTTTTACGCGGTTACACGAGTGGTCAATACCTAGCCCTACCAGTGTAACTCTAAGTGTTAAAACTTAAATGTTTAAGAGCTTCTCCACAGCACAGCGGCTGTTTTAACACCAGCATAACTACTGGTTGTAGTTCTACTAGAACCCAACCTAACTTCTACTCGTGTAAAAATACTTTATCAATAAAATGGCAAGTATTCTTACAAGTTTATGCCATTCACATACCCTCAAAATTCGCACTGGAATCACAGGTATTCACCCCACAAAGCCATTTGCGCAGAAAAAAAACCCTAAATATCTTGAAGCTCAGGCCTCGGGCTTGTTTTACTAAACAGATTCCAATTCACTGTGCTCACTCCCGTGTTTACAACGAAGGCATCCGCTTCAGAAACTGCTAAACCGGGGCCGCTGTGCACAACTTCCCCAGAGCCCGAGGGCGCTTTGGACACCCTGGGCACAGGGACAGGACCTAGACCCCAAGTTTGGGAAGCAGACACAACTCCCAAAGAAAACACGAGGCAGTTTTCACCCTCAATTACATGGGATTTGGTCTATGAAAGCTATTTATATACGGTAAGAGCCAGCCCAAGTAAACGCACTGAAATACCTATATATTTTGCATGAGGAGTTTTGTCTAAAGAACAAAACATCGCGGTTCGAATGAAACCCCATTTTAGTCTGAACAGGGAAGGGGGGAGGAAAAACCAGAACTAAAAGCCTGCACAGAGCCGAGGCTCCGGGACGGCTCCGCGGCCTGTGCTGATGTGTCACCAAGTCACCAGCTCATGCTCGGGTACCACCTGAGCGTCCCCGCGACCCTGCGGAGCATCTCGGAGCGCTTCCCTCGCTGCTCGAGGATCAGGGGGACACGGGGACAGGGAATTTGAGGGGCAGAGGGAGCAGGAGGCGCCTGCGCTG